ATAATCAGCAGCTCCTTAAAGCTTTGCTCTAGGTGGTTTATTTGAATGATGCCTCAGAAACAGTCTGTTTCCAGGAATGTTTTTTTCCTGTCCACTCCCTCCCCCTGAGGCTCTGAAGTAAATCTAATTCTGGAAATTTCTGCCAGCAGCTCTCTGCTCCCTGATTCTTTACAAAGCACATGGCTTTCTCATCTCCCTGTGGTTGCCTCCACTCCAAGAAATTCAGTTTCTGTTCTTTTTATCCTTTTGGTTTTTGGGACACACCCAGTGGTACTCAGGGTTAACTTCTGGCTCAGCACTCAGGGATTATTCCTGGCAGGGAATGGGGGACCATATAGGGTACCAGGGGTCAAATTGTGTCAGTTGCATGAAAGACATTTGCCCTACTTGCTGTACTGTTTCTCCAGCCCAAGGAATCCAGTTTCTGCTGATTTTGAGATCAGTGGCCTCTTGTGCCTTAGAAACTCTACCTTTATGCCAATCCCATGCCCTTTGGCCTTTCTCTCTACATTCAGCTCTACTGTCTGAAAACTGAGCTGAGTTTACAGTAACTCCTTGTAGGATGGCACTGTTTTGTACTTCCTCAGGCAGTTTATGTTTATCTGGTCACACCCATCCCAGTGCTCCTGAGTCACTCCCATTCTTCTGTTTATTTGTAACTACTTCTCTATGCTCTCTTTCCCAAACAGTTAATCAGCTTATTCCCCTAATCAGTTTCTGTTAGTTTGTAAGGTCAGATCTTTCTAGGATACTGAACTTATATTGTAAGTTAATATTCCTTTCTCCTCTCCTTATGTCTTTTGAATAGTTTACTTTAAAGCTGTGTCCTTTTGTATAGACACAAGAAGACAATATTATGCTTTTGTAACTAGGGATTTAATTGGCTTTGAATATTTTTCATTCCCAGGCATCTGCTTTCTCAACTTAAGTCTCAGTTGCCCTCACTTTCTAGCGCCCCCAAAAGCAGGGTCCCAACGAGGGACTGGATGGAACCAGGGAAAGTGGTAAGCTATGTGCTACCCTGTCATCGAGATGGGCCTGGCCAAAGCGCCACAATTCTTAACTATAAGTTAAGAGCTTGATCATAACAAATGCTTTCATGATCTAAAGTAATGACAAGACTAGGACCCTGCTAGGGATAGGAAAGACTGATCTGGCCTGAGCACTGTAGTCTGAGATCAGGATGACCCCAGGAGAACAATTCTATAAGTTTAATGCATCTCTTACTCTATCACTTAATCACTTAAGTGATTTTGACCGTGAGTGTGGAAAGGTAGGACTACAGCTGAATCTTACGAAGACAATGTTTATGAGAAACAGCCTTGTTCCTGACGCCCCATTTGCTCTCAACAGAATGACCATCTCTGAATGCAACAGCTATGTGTACCTAGGTCGAGAGGTCAACATGACAAATGACCTGGCACCTGAGCTGCGCAGGAGGAAGAGAGCGGCTTGGAACGCCTTCAAGAACGTCGAAGAAATAGCTAAGAGGACGAAGAACCTCAAGCTCTGGACACATCTCTTTGATTCCACTGTTCTTCTTGCATTAACATATGCCTCAGAGACCTGGGCCCTATGCAAACAGGATGAGAACGCTATTCAGGTCTCTCAAAGAGGAATTGAAAGAGCTATGCTTGGAATATCACATTTCACTCAAATGAGAGAAAGAATCCAGAGTTCTGACATCCGTCAACGATCAAGAATCAGGGATGCTGTCTCATTTGCCAAGGTGTCGAAAATCAGATGGGCTGGTCACGTAATGAGATTTAAAGATGTCCGCTGGACTAGAGCTGTTACCGACTAGATTCCACGGGATGTCAAAAGACCGCATGGCTGCCCACCTACCAGATGGTCAGACTTCTTCGTCAATATCATGAACAATCGGTTTGAGGCCCTTCATATTCCCCGAGCGAACAGATGCCATTGGGCTACACTAGCACCCGACAGGGACAAATGGAGACGTTACTGACGCCCGCTCGAGCAAATCGACGACTCTTACTCCATATAAAATGATTAATATTATGAGTGCTTATATGTTTGTTGGACAACAATAGGAGAAACACATTCATGGGATTCCACCCTTGGGTGGGTGGTCCTGCTGAAAGAGAATCTGTCCTAGAAGCAGCATCCCCTGAGGGGAAGAACTTTACCCCTGTTGATTGTGACCACACCTATGTGTAAGCCCAGCCCCTCATGGTTTGGGGATTTAAGGAGACTGTAAGAGGGGGCTGAGAGAGAAGATCGAGAGCCAGAGCCAGAGCCAGAGCCAGGAAATAGGGGTTCCAGATCGGGGCCCCAGAGAGAAGGAGAGAGAGAAAGACAGGAGTGAACTGGGATGACAATGAAATAAACAGCATCTGATCAATCAACTGGCTTGGCTCTCGCTTCCTCCACCATCTGCCCTGGGGCCCAGGCCGCTCTGGCTGGGGGGGGGGGGCAGCCCAGGACCCCCAGAAACTGGCGGTCAGGACCCCCAGAAACTGGCGGCCAGGGAAAGAGCTGTCGGGGTCACCCCCTGGCCAACCTTGGAGTTTTTTTTTTCACAACTCCTCACTTTTTTTGTTTTGTTTTGTTTTGCTTTTGCTTTTTGTATCACACCTGGTGATGCTCGGGAGTTACTCCTGACTCATGCACTCAGGAATTACTCCTGGCGGTGCTCAAGGGACCATATGGAATGCTGGGAATTGAACCCATGTCGGTTGCGTGTAAGGCAAAGGCCTTACCCACTGTGCTATCTCTCCAGCCCCAACTCCTCACTTTTTAATCTCCTCCTGCTGGTCCCCTTTGACTCTCTCTGCACTTGTCCCCTGTAGCTTCTGCTCAAACCCAGCTTGTTTCTGTCAGCCTCCTTTACACATCCTTTGACATTTGTGAGCAAAACATGTTTCATTTCGCCGAAAATGGCAGTGGACATTTCTTCCAGGCTCTATGTTAGTTCATATGATTTCTAGTAAGAAGTGGGGAAGATATTTAAAGAGTCCAGATAAGCTCTTAAAGTCTTTGGCCGCAGGAATCCTTTGGGCATGTGTTTTGAAGCTGATGTAACAAACCTGGGAGTTTTAATGATCAGGCAGATCTTCAAAGTTCTAGCAGTGAGGGCCAGTGTGTATGTGTGTGTGTGTGGGGGGGGGGGGTGGCGGGTTGGTAGTGGTCGTGTCAGGAAATGTGCCATTCACAGCAGTTCTTTCTTTGATTGACTCACAATTTCGGTTCTTATCCTACACTCCATCCAGACAATAGTCTTTTAACATTTAATAATCTGACTAATTAACTGTAGTTCAGGAAAGGGAGAGTCATTTGTCATGGTTTTACAAAGACTGTGAGACCCATGACTGCATTGCAGAGTGGTTGGCCGCCCTCTGGACGCACACTGGCAGGATTACGACTTTTGGCTTTCGGCTGCATTTCAAGGTGACAGATGGGTGGATGGGATGCAACGCACAGCTCCACATCCTGGAAGATGGCGGGAAACAGGCCTCATCGCCCTGGTGAAGAACTGCATCTTCTACACTAACAGGGCAAGAATTTGAAGGTACAAAGGAAAGGACAGGGGTTCAGTAGGTCTACCCTGTTCCCCTCCCCCCCCCCCAGGCATGCCTTTTATTATGTGTTGGCCTATACGCTGGTTTTGGTTTAATGGAAGAATAAACACAAAGATTTTTTTTAATCACCTTGAGATACAGTTACAAGCTTTCATGTTTGAGTTACAATCATACAATAATCAAACACCTGCCCCTCCACCAGTGCACATTCCCCACCACCAATATCCCCCGTATAACCCCCCTCTTCCACCCGCCCCCTGCCTCCATGGCAGACAATATTCCCCGTACTCTTTCTCTACTTTTGGGTTTTATGGTCCGCAGTACAGATACTGAGAGGTTATCATGTTTGGTCCTTTTTCTACTTTTAGCAGACATCTCCCATCCCGAATGATCCCTCCAACCGTCATTTTCTTAGTGATCCCTTCTCTATTCCAGCTGCCTTCTCCCCCAGCTCATGAGGCAGGCTTCCAACTATGGAGCAATATTCCTGGCCCTTGTGTCTACTGTCCTCGGGTGTCCGTCTCATGTTATGTTATTTTATCCTCCACAAATGTCACTCCACTTCTTTATCAAACTCCAGACTGCTCTTTCTCAGCTCAGAAGCCATCGAAATCCCTAAGCCATTTGAGAGAAAAATCTGCTCTGGTATGTAATCGGTTTGTGTTCCCAGAGCATCCCGTGGGCCATTTGGGGTTGTCATAGTTTCTTCCTCCGTGCTGAGGACTGCTTGAGTGCAGAGACGGTCTTCACCAGCCCTGCGCCCAGCACCCAGCTCTTGGCCCTTGGCAGAATGAATGTGCCAGACTCTTACATTACCTAGGTCGGTCCGTCCTGGTAGATCCAGCTAGTGGTTGGTGGCGCTATGAGCAAAGTTACGGTACCCCCAGCTCTCCCCTCTTCCGTGGGCCAGCTTTCTGTTCGTTTTGGCATTTTTTTCCCTCCCGCGTTCTCCGTCCCCCACCCACCTCAGAAATAGTGGACAGGAGTGGGAAAGGGACACCCCGTGTTTCCCCACAATTTCTCCCCTCCCCCCTCTGCCTGGCAGACCTCCACCAGCCACCTCCTTTCCCGCGGGGGGTCGCCAGGCTACCAAGTGCCTGTTGCTTGCTCACACGAGATCCCCCAAGTTGTAGAACGCGCTCCCAAGGGGGTGCCGGAGGGGCCCCTCCCGGGCGCTGAGCTGACCCGCGCGTTCCGCAGCGCGGCGCCTCTCCAAGCCGGGAGCTCCTTTGTGCCACGGGAGAGCCGCGGGCTCCCAGCCTCCCGCGGGCTCCTTCCCCGCCTCCCCAGGCCCGGGGCTCCCAGGAACCCCCCGCGCCCGCCCCCGCCCCGCCTCCGTAGCCCGCATCGTGCCTCCCGCCGCGGCGGCCGAGCCCCCAGTTACAGTATCCGCGGCCGCCGAGTGACTGCACGTTCCGGGGACTGCGAATCGCGGCGGGCGCGGGCGGCGGGGGGAGGGCGCGTAGTGGCAGACGGCCGCTGGGATTATGAATGGGGGCGGGGGGGGCCGGCGAGAGTGGGGTTCAGCCCGGGATTTTCGCCATCCGGCGTGGGAGAGACACGCCAGGCTGTGCGTGATCCTGCTGCTCCCGCGGCTGGGGAGATGCCCCGAGCTCCCGGCGGCGAGTGAGGGTCGTTTCGCCCAAGTCCCCCGGTACCGTGCGGGAGGTCGGCGAGGTAGGTGGGGGCGCGCGGCGGGGGTGGGGGGATTTGGGGGGATCCAGGAGACGCTGCGGCGGGCTGGGGACCGTGTGCCTGGCTCCTTGACATGGACAGGTGGTGGCCTGGGCACTTCCCACCTTCACCCAGCAGCTCGTCCGTGCAAGTCGAGCTCAGTACCCGCACCCAGCCGGGGAGCGCAGCGCGGGGGACCGAGTGCCGTGGGCCAGCTGTCTCATCTAGGGGACTGGAGGTGGGGGGACCACTGCGGGAGGCATGTGGGGGGAAGAGAAGGGGATGGGGTGCCGCTTGCGATGCTCTGCGGGGGTCCCCCACGGTTGCCAACCGAGCGGCCGGTACGCGCGCGCTCTGCAGCCACCCCCGGCTCGGGTGCCCGTTTCCCGGCTGCCGGCGGCGCCCGGTCCCCGTCCCTGACCGGCTCCGGGGCTGGGGCGCCGGGGGTCTCGGCGCCGACGGGATGCGCGGGGCGGAGCCGCGTGCTGCCCTGGCCGGGGCGTCCTGAGCGCGGCGGCGGCAGCCCGGGCAGCTGGCAGCAGGGCCGAGGTAAGCGCTGTCCGCGGGCTCCCCGTGCCAGCACTTCAGCACCCCGCCAGCCCAGGGAGAGAATTTGGGGCGGGCGGTACCGAGGTGGAGGCTGACGGGCAGCCCCCGGGGGAGGGGGCGCTCCGGGTTGTTGCCTGGACGGCGCCGCGGTCCCCTTGGCTGCAAGCGCCGTCGTCGGCCCTTTCTTGAGGCTCCCCTTCGCGCCGCCGCCCCGACTCCTGGCCTCGCAAGGGCGTCGAGGGAGGGCGAGTCCCGAAGGAAGGGGAGAGGCAGCATGAACCCCACCCCCGCCCCCGGATCCGGGTGCGGGTCGGAGCGCGCCGCAGAGGATGGCATCCCCGGGTACCCGGGAGTTGGTCCTGTGTGCCAGGCGGCTGAGCCCCGAGGGGCACGCTCCGCGGCTTTGGCTCTGCTGGGAAGTTTAGGGAGCGCGGGCTGGGTTTGCGGCGATGTGCTGCGGCTGTTTAGGGCCTGGCCCTTTCTAACAAGTGTTCGTGTTTGGAGTCTCTCTAACCAACCCCCCTGGGAAGACCCCCTCCCCAGCCCTAAGTGCTATTCTTAAAAAAAAAAAGACAAACCCCACAAAACAAACTTGCACAAAACGGAAGACTTCGTCATCAATAGCTTTAAATGTAAGTAAATTTACACTTAAATATAAGCTTTATATGGTATATGAGATTACGGAGCAATAGCTCTAAATTCTAGTGTGGCTCATTTTAAAGACACATGTACACACATATATTTAAAACATGTATATATATATATGTGCTTGTGTCTACATATGCGCATGGTATTTATGATGACTACTTAGAATGTTACAACATAAAATATAACTATATTTTGTACTACACTATATACATACTGCACAGTATACATGTAATTGTTCACATGTCATATGATACAGAGTATATTTTAAAATCCTGGGGTTAATTAGAAAAAGTACAGATTTTTTAATTTTAGTGGATCATACACTTCCCCAGTGTATCAAAAACAGGTGGTTATGCCAATGATTTTCATGAAAACAAAAAGAGTTTGGGACTCAGAAGTGTTTCATCTTTGGCCTGAGGTGTCAGCTGGAATTTGGAGGCCACCCCTGCTGTCCCCAGGTCTTACTCCTGGCTCTGTATTCTGGTCATTAGTCCTTGCTCTGCGGATGAACCAGGGTCTGCCACATGCAAGCTAAACATTTGACCACTCTGTACTAGCTCTCAGGCACCAGGAAAGCATGCCTGACTTGATCTGCCATGAATTTTCAAGGACATAAGGCCAGTGAATTTACTGCAAGTAAAAGGAGATGCCAAAGACTTCCCTTCTAGGGTGGCCTCTATTTTCCTGAATCCCAAGGGTTACACCTCTTTAATGTAGAGAGGGTGTGTTATCAGCTTAACACTGAACACAGCCTGTTCAGCTCTTCAAGTCAGTACTTAGCTTGTAACTTGCTGGCTGTTTCTGTTCCTTTCCTTTTTTTTTTCTTTCTTTCTTTTTTTCTTTTCTTTCTTTCAATTTTTTTTTTTTACTTTTTGGGGTCACACCTGGCGATGCTAAGGCCGGCGATCCTCAGGGGCTACTCCTGGCTCTGCATTCAGGAATTACTTCTGGCAGTGCTCCGGGGACCACATGGGATACTGGGAATCAAACCCGGGTTGGCTGCGTGCAAGGCAAACTCCCTACCCTCCGTGCTATCACTCCAGCCCCCTCTGTCCATTTTCTTTAACTAACCAGTAAGCCCCCCTCAATCCCCCCCCCCACATATAGATAAATAAGTAAAATGGGTTAAATAGACCGGAAATGTGGAAATGTGGAGAGGATTGGTATTCTGATATTCGTTAGTATCTCTCTCTTTCTTCCTTATTACAGCTGTTGAATTAGACAATTTTGCGATGTGTCTATTAGCATTGTTTTCCTCAGCTGACTGGACACATTTTCCAATGATGGATCATCTTGAATTTCTCTAGATGGTATGCTCATTTCCTTTCTCGATAGAGTTGTTTTTGATTAGAAGATAAGAAATCAATCAAATACGGGTTTCTGATCTCGAAGTCATTTGGCTGTGTAAAGACAGGCAGTTAATAATAGCCACATAACCACAGTATGAATTCATATTTGATAAAGATATGAGATCCAGAAATGGTGTTTTTTTTTCCATTTTGGTTTGAAAACTAAGGATTTAAAATCATGAAAGGTTAGAGTCCCCAGTTGCTCTGAATATCTTATTTGGCTAGCTTTGGTTCAGGAGCAAGTGATGTATGATGTTTCGAGGTACCCCAATTTGGAGGCCAGTAACTTGGATTCGTGTTATTTGTGTTATGGCTCAAGAATTCATTGCTCTTTCCACGCAAATTTAAGGAGCAGCATTTGGAAGTGGGACATCGATCACAGGACAAGTAAGAGAGTTTCTTTCCACACAGTTTGTCTGGCACCTGACAGTACTATGGCAACACTGAGATGCCCCTTTGTCCTCCCTTAGCTCCCCCTCAAGAAAGGTCTTAGTGGTCCCAGTCCCAGGGTGTTGGCATAATCCATAATATCCTAGAAGCCTCAGCTCCACTAAGGATGCCCTGAGCTGCCCAAAGTCGAAACCTCTGTGTCTAAGTAATGCCTTTTCCCAGGATGTGTAATGACGGGGGTGGGGACATAACAGCCTTTACCAAATTCAGTGTAGGACTCTGGAGGACTCTTCTAGCTCCTGATTATCCCCTGATTTTTTTTTCTCTTTGGGTCATACCCGGCGATGCACAGGGGTTATTCCTGGCTCTGCACTCAGGAATTACCCCTGGTGGTGCCGTAGTGGACCATTTGGGATGCTGGGACTGGAACCCCAGTAGACCGGAAGGCCACATGCAAGGCAAATGCCCTACCTGCTGTGCTATTGCTCCCGCCTGTCCCCTGATATCTTGATGTCTCTCCTTGTCGATTTCCATTTCATTCCCCCTTTCCCAGATACTGATAGCAAGGTGTCTTCAAATCACAAGCTCACCATCTTGTCTGCTAGGTCAGCCTCCCTAGGGCCACCAGCCTGGACCATATCTTTTCTATACATGTTCATTTTGCCCCTTTATGGCTTTCCAACTCCTATCACTTGGGGGCTGGTTCCCTCTCCCAGCTCTTCTGTCCCTTCTGTTTTATCATACTTTATTTTTCCTAGATCTACCATGATTTGCATGCTATATATTCCATTGCTATTAGGGTAGTGGTACTTGGATTTTTTTTTAACATTTTAATTTGAGTCTCTCTGATGAAATCCATCAAAAGAACTACTCTTGAATAATATAAGGACCTCCCAATGTGCTTATTCTGATTCTTCCCCATGTCTCATAATATGATGTAGTGATTTAGTTCTTCTACCATTTTTCCACTCTGTCATTTTAACAAATTGTTGGATTGTTTTAACAGTCAAGACTTATTTATTTATTTATTTATTTTTAAAACTTTTTGTTAGTGATTCACTGTGAGGTACAGTTATAGATTTACACATTTTCATGCTTGTATTTTAGTCATTCAATGCTCAAGTACCCACCCTCCATCACCAAGGATCTCAGCATCCCTCCCCCCACCCCATCTCTCCCACCTACCCTGCCTCTGCGGCAGGGCATTCCCTTTTGTTCTCTCTCTCCCTTTGGGTATTGTGGTTTGCAATAGAGGTATTGAATGGTCATCATGTTCAATCGATAGTCTACTTTCAGCATGCATCTCCCATCTTGAGTGGGTCCTCCAACCACACTTACTTGGTGTTCCCTTCTCTATTTGAACTGACCTTTCCGCCAGCATGTGAGGCTGGCTTCTAAGCCGTGGAGCAAACCTCCTGGTACTTATCTCTACTATTCTTGGGTGTTGGTCTCCCATTCTATTACTTTATATTCCACAGATGAGTGCAATCTTTCTATGTCTGTCTCTCTCTTTCTGACTCATTTCACTTAGCTTTATACTTTCCATGTTGATCCACTTATATGCAAAGTTCATGACTTCATCTTTTCTAATAGCTGCATAGTATTCCATCGTGTATACCATCTGTTCTCAGGAACTCGGGTTCTTTTCCAGATTCTGTCTATTGTAAACAGTGCTGCAATGAACATACAAGTGCAGATGTCATTTTGACGATACCTTTTTGCCTCTTCAGGATATATTCCCAGGAGTGGTATTGCTGGGTCAAATGGGAGCTCAATTTCTAATTTTTGGAGAATCGTCCATACTGTTTTCCAAAAGGGCTGAACCAGTCGGCATTCCCACCAGCAGTGTAGGAGGGTCCCTTACTCCCCACATCCACACCAAAATTTGCCTCCATTTCTCTGTCCGACTCCTCTCTTCTTCATGAGGTAGGTTCTTTTCTAAGGAAGCAGTTCTTTTGGTAAGCATATACAAATGACAAAAGTCTCTTAATCCTTTTTTTTGTGTGTGTGTTTAAAACTGTATTTCACCCAACCATCTAAATAACAGATTTCTGGGAGCATAAATCT